GTGCGGGATTTTGTTCTGCTCCTCGTCATGGGCTTCGCCTTTGGTTTTTTCTTCGAACGCTCGCACGTGTACGAGCCCCTGGTAATCCGCGAGCAGTTCATTTTCAAGACCATGATCATGCTGAATATGTTCATGGGCGCGGTTGTGGGCGCCTGCATCTCGTTCTTCTTCTGGAACAAGATCGACAGAGAGAGGATGCAAGCGGTGCGCGATTCGTTGTTGATCACCTCGAGCTCTGCGATACGAGTGCTGCTTGGCGGCGGCATTCTGGGCGCCGGGATGGTCGTCGGCGGCGCCTGCCCGGGCATGGTGTTGCCGCAAGTAGGGACCGGGGTGGGGAACGCGTGGATCACGCTGCTCGGTGGGTTTTTCGGCGCCTTTCTCGCAAATGTGCTGAAAGCGGTGGAAGGTCGTGCTGGGAGAAATAATAGCAGCTGCGACAGTGGAGCTTGCGGTAGTGCTCTTGGCGGTAGTACAACGCAGTACAACTATGTTGACAATTCTGAAAGTAAAAGCCCCGCGACATCGAGCAATCTTGGTGCAGTTGCGCCGACAGCATCGGCGAAAGAAGAGGACTTGCAAGGAACTTCTAGTGATCCTCCATCTGCGGAGAGCAAATTACAAACCAAAAATTTCTCCGCAGGTACTACTTCTGCTTCTACCCCAACGATGCAGTCCCAGTACGCAGACCTCCGTTTCGGGATTCCCTTCAATACCGCCATGATCGCTTTCGGGTTATTTTCGGCGCTCTTCTGTCTCGCCTGCGAAATCCTGTTGCCGTTTAAGGAGGAGCTGCACAACCACGGAAAAAACCACGATTGGAAGGACCACGCGTGGCCGCCGTCGCTGTGCGGTTTGGGCATTGGGTTAGTCAATTTGGGTTCCGTCTTCATCGCCGCCCGGCCCATCGGCTCCTCCACCGCCTACGCCCAGCTGGCGCTCATGGATCAGTTGATTCCCGCCAAGTTTCCACAGAAGCTGAAACCGTTTGAAAAGTTTCAACTCCTCGGGTGGTACTGGCAAGTCCCGTATCTGATGATGGCCGTTTTCGGCGCCTACTGTTCGGCCAGGCTCGCGGACAACCTGCCCAGCGGCGCGCCGTACGTGCAGTCTGAAATAACCGCTTTTCTCGGTGGAACTCTGATGCTCTTCGGATCCAGGCTCGGCGGCGGGTGCACTAGCGGGCACGGGATTGCCGGCATGCCGCTGCTCAACTTGTGGGCGAGTATGGAAGAGAAATTGTATTATTGCGGATCTTTTACCGTTTTACACGGTAACGAATGCATTACCGTGCGGTATGCAGCACGAATTTCGACAATCTAGATGACGATAAGTACTTGATAGAAAGCAGGAAAGCCCTATGAGCGCACTTGTGCCATACTAAACTAGATTGATTACAAATTTGCAGAAAAGCAAAAGCCGGAATGCGCTTGTGCTTACCAACGTCATGTAGGGTCCTCGTCGTGTCCGTGTAGTAGGGACAATTTTCCATGCATAGCGATCGGGGCGGTGTGTTCCATGTTCGGGGTTGGTATCGTGGTCGCAGTCAGTATGGAGCTGGCCGGCGAGTTGGCGTTGCACGCCAGGTTGTGAAGCAAAGTGTTGCTTGGGCGGAACACCTCTAGGAGGAGAAAATCAAATAGAAAGTGACAGAAACCTAATAAAGAACTGCAAAAACTAATCCTGATCATAATGCTTATCCTCATCGTTATACACGTCATGAGACGTTGGTTGGTGTAGTTGGTAATGACTACCAGAATGTGTCGCGCAAGAGTTCTTGTGTGCGTCATTCAACAATGCTTGTTGAGATGATACTAGTTCGAAAATTTGCTGTGTGTGTTAATTATCGTGTTTCAGATATGAAAGTACAACTACAAGTAGAGTGTAAGATGCGTAGGACCCACAAAACGCATCACGACAATGACCAACACCTGTGTACAAAAATCCCTTGCTTACTTAAGCTTCCGAAGGGAAAGATTAGAATATTGTCGATGCAGCCTCACTGTTGCACGGGCAGCTCCGATTACTACTTAGTACTTACCAACCGCAAGTCTGGAGTTTGCTTTCCACCTTGTTCGCGCTCTCTGAAATATGTCGAGACTTCGGCGCAAGGGGTTGTACTTGTATTCTCTTTTTTATCATTCGTTTGCTCGTTGTCGTTATTTCGCGTCACCGGGAGGATTTGAACATTTGGGTTTCTGGGCATCACTCGTTAGGTTGATGCTCCTGTTGCAAAGCACCCAGGTCGTTGTTTGGGGGGGGTGGCTTCTCGTGTCGCTAGCGCGGAGACAAGCCGACTATTGAGGAACACGGTTTCCTTACAGAGCTCGGAGAAGAGAAAGAGTGGAGAGAGCCGCAGCTACTGAGAGAGCTGGCGTCACAGACCATCCTCGTATTTTCCCAAACTACTGAAGACGCACTTCTTGTCGATGTCGAAGAAACGTAAAATTGTAGGTACGGAAAATAAATTGCGAACGAAATGTACTAGCGGTCATCATCTTCCATAGTATCTCAGCTAGGCGAGAAGATGACGTTGAGAGCTGGGCCTGTATTTGCTTACAAGTCGAAGCGTTATTGTACGAAAACGGGTCCTCCAGAAATATACAACTAAAATTATGTTACAGAGAGAGACCACAGCGTGGGGAGATGTCGATAGTATTCTATTGCAAGGGCAACAAGCAGCCAGCACCAGCGCTATCAAGCAGAATGACGGATTTCTGAAGCTTCTCCCGCCCTTGTTTCTCTCCCTCTTGTTCACATTCACCGGGCGCTTTATCCTCCGGAAAAAGCTAGCATGGCGGAACGCGATCGTGAAGAATGTGTTCTGGAAGTTCCAGTTCAACCTCCACCCCGTCATCGTCGGCCTCTGCGTCTATCTCGCCAGCTGTCCGAAAGACCTCTACTTTGCCGAATACGCCAGTTTCATGGTCGTCCCCTTCGCCTTCAACTTCGCCGTCGATCCGTGGGACCTCCCGTTCCGGGATAAACTTTTCTCCTTTTTTTTCTACCTCCACCACTTCGGGCCGGTTGTTGGATGCATCGCCGCGGACTGGGCGAGCAACCACTTGGCGGCCGCGGGGAAAATTATACCGCTGTCCGCGACGGTGACCAGCAACAGTACCAGCTTACCCGCCACCGCTCTGCTGTTCGCGCACATCTGGCTGCTGCACCCGATCGGCACGCTGGACGCGAAAAAGTTCCTGAACAAGCAGAAGATCTTTTGGCCCTACGTGCTTCAGGGTTTCTTGTTCAAAATCGCCTTTTGGCGGGAGATGATCACGGCCGAAAAAGTGTACGTGTCGAATTACGGCCTCATCCAGATGCAGACCGACGCGATCGTGCTGGCGATCTTTCTGCAGTTCATAGGCCGGTGGGGGTTGTTTCTGCGATTGCGATTGAGGTTTAAAATCATGAAGGAAGACAAGTTTGAATGGCACAAGTGCTTCTGGGAGCCAACACTCTTTTTCGTGGCGTATGTGGTCGCAAATCACGTTTTTCTGGTGATATACTGACAATGATACACGTATTGCATTTTTTTAGCACCGCGGTGCTCGCTTCAGCAAGTCACGTATAGGAGCTGCTGCATATTGGCACTGTTTTTGAAAAGGACACGCACAACGTGGTGGCACGGTATTTTTATCACTGCCGGGCGCTATTCGACCCTCCCTCGTTCCCGTGCCACGTCTTGTTCAAGTGCGTGCTGCTCTCGAATAATGCCGTGTCATCGGTGTAAATCAAAATCGTATCCTTGTGTTGGTCGTGCGATGAAGAAGATCGTTTCCCGTGGTATTTTTTTGATCCCGAAGAGTAAAGGTCGCATTCATCAGGAATTTTCCTACTGCTGTGTAAGTTTAAAGTATGGGTATGCTGCAGTTATCCGTAAAGTGAAGTCTATATCTATGCACCAGTTTCTATTAGTTTCGGTCTGTTAATAAACGGAAACTGAGTTGTCTCCACCGATTCCGTTGAGTCTTTATGTCGCAAAATTTTATGGTTCGCTAGCAGTGAGCTAAAGCTCTGTCCGTGCATTACCCAGCACCATGCCCCGTGTCGAGCAGACCCTGGTGGGTTCCTCCTCCCTTGCCGGGGACGGTTTGACCATTTGGAGTAAGGATTTTTGCTACTACGGGCACGCGAACCAATTTGTGGAGTCACTGCAGATCCGGTTTTTCACCCGCGCTTTGTTTTCGCTCATCTTCCTTAATTTCCACGACTCCTCATCCCTGATGGAGGAGAAGCAAGTCACGCCACCGCAGTATTCGTGGCCCGGCTGGATGTTTGTGAAGGTGATGAAGCCGATCAAGCCGGGGGACTGTATTGGCGTGAATTTTCTTTCCAGTACTACCGCGGAATATCTGAGCGCCACAACGACACCAGGGACGACATCTTCGAGGAGCGAGGCGAGTCAGGCCGCGGGCGGTACTTCTACCAGTGATGTAGTATCAGCATCAGAGTCTACTTCTGCTCCAGTGGTCGTGAAGCAACCCGACAACTCGCACGTTCCGGGTAGGGAAATTTTGGAGCTGAAGCAAGCAACAGAAGGTGTAGGTGGACGGGCTGGAAGTTCGTCCGGTGGGCCGACAACTGCAAGTCCACCACCGGAAGCAGGACAAGAAGACGAAGCAGCGTCAGAGGTTGAAGACCCAGAAATCGAGTTCGCTCTTTCGCTGAACAGCACGCTAAACAAGATGCTGGCGACCATGGGACCTTGTCAAGACGTCAACGAGGCGACGCACCTGTTCATGACGGATGTGGAGAGGGACAGGAAGCTCCGCGCGGGCAGCTTCTACCCAAAAACGGAATGGTCGACGGAAACGACGCTACCCCCGACGAAGACCATCACAGACACCGTCGACGGACAGGTCGTCACGACGGTCGCGCAAAACGGCTTTCGCATCCGCCGCATGTTCGCGTTGGAGCACTGTCGCGGGCTGCTCGTGTCGCACTACCGGATCGCGCCGCAGCT